GTTCCTGGAATGAGACAGATTCTGCAGAATGAGGAAGTGACAGAGGGTGACCGCCAGAAGGGGCATCAACCTGGTAGAGCTAATTCCCAGAACCACCAGGAAGTGGCGCCCTCTAGCCTTGAGTAGAGCGCCCCCGTCACAAATAGTAATAATGATTTCTTGGCTCTCCTAGAAATACCTCACCTCCTGTGATAATAGTGCCAACTCCTGTGGGAAACAGGCAGAGCTTTGCCTGTTTCCTGCAGGAGCCTTGATTGGCTGCTCTTCCCCCAGGAGGTGGGCAAGTACCGGGAGGGAACTTCAGAAAACAGAGTATTCCCCTGCTGCCAGCGATTGACTAGTCTGGTTCTGCCCCCAAGTTGCAAGCAGGCTGAAGTACCTGTTGCAAGGGATCTGGGGAACCTGCACACAAAAAAGAATTTAATGTACTCACAGGACTCTAGGAGCTGGAGCTTTAGGAGAAACTCCAAATACTGGGAAAGTTGATGATACTGGACTATGACAAAAATAGATTACCTGTAAGAAGCTAACCTTGGGAGGACACTGAATATGGAAAGAAAGGCATTAAGAAATGGATCAGATGAAGAATGGAGCTATATGCTGAACCTGGTATTCTGAAGAGGTCGGTATATATTTATTTACAGCAGTTAAGAAAGGAAAGGGCTGATGTTTTTCATTATTTATATTATTGTAACACCTACAGTCTACTAGGTGCCGTACAGATACATATAAAGCTCTGTACCAAAGAGCAAAGCGTTCTGTGTAACCTTACACTCGGATATCAATATTTTGTGCAACGCAGTTTTGAAGATAGATGAAATCCCATTATTTGAGAGACTGAATATACAAGGAGTACAGCTTCAAAGGGAAAAGTATTTACAAGATTAAACTTGGGATGGGTTTCTTATGTCCCATCTCAGAGTGAGAGACTCTTTTGGGGTTTTCTACAGGGATGTCCATTGATACAAAACAGTAAGGTCACAACCAATCTCAGTGAAACATCAATCACTGCAGCACTGACTGCAGGCACTGTAGCTGAAACGATACAGCGCAATGCAGTCCGTGCTGGACTGAAAGTAATTTCACCTCTCATGCCATCTTAAATACAAGCAATCCATTACAAAAGAAGCCCTGAAATGTTCTATCGTTACAGAGGGATTTTGAAAATTGATCCTGTCAGATCTGGCAAACACTTATCCACACAAACTCACGCTTTCTCAAATTTGAAAAGCTGGTCTGCTAACTCGCATGCTCTCCACTTCTCTACTGTAAAAAACAGCAATGACTTAATGCAAGAAGTTATTTTAAGACCATCATATCATAGCATGAAGTCATCAGTTCTATATCTTCTTGTGGGATAATCCTGTTACAGAATAATCTCATTTTATAACAGTATGTATCAAAGGACAATCTTTTCAGCCTCTTACAAAAAAAAAAATCTTACAAGGTGTTGAGATCTGTATCCACAAGATTTCATTTGATATACAGTACCTATATTATGTATTATATAAATGGACAGGGAGACATAGCCCCTGCCCCAAGAAGCTCACAGTTTAATACTCAATACAGATATAACAAACATCAGATACACAGGCTGAAGGCCCTACCGAGGCAGATTTGTATACATATTTATAAGGCCAGATCACTGTAACAGCTGTGCATTCATGGATTTACCTTCATAACATCCCATGCAGTATTATTATGGACATGGAAAATGAGGTACAGAGAGATTAAGGGACTTCCCCAAGGTCATACAAGAAGTCTCTGATAAAGTCAGGAACTGAACCCAGATTACCTGAGTCCCAAACTATTTCCTTTGCCAAGAGACCATCCTTCCTCCTCCCCCATTTTCCCATCTTCAATTACCACTGAAGGAAGAAGTGCTTTAAAGAGGGATTTGACTGTACCATTCTTTGTAGTTTAAATAGGATTACTAAAACATTTTCAAAAACAATTCTCAAATTAGAGAGGTTTTCCAGAAGGAATAAAGATGCCTTCACAGAATTTTCTTTGGAAAGGCAATTAGCTTGAGTTCAGGTCAGAGACCTCATTACAACCCTGGTCTAAATTTTCACAATTAGGACCTCTATTTCCCAACAGGTAAAGCTCTCCTGCTGGTGGCACTGGCAGGAGCAGCAGTGTAGGCAGGACTATTTTTACGACCATGACATCTAACTAAACTGGTCTCTTCAAATCCATCGTGTAATTACAACCCTGACACACAAATATTCCATCTGTGCCTTTTCCTACTACAGACTGTTTGGAGACCTTTCAGGTAGCGTATTTATATTTCCTCCAAAGCACTTATTTTAGCAGGCAGCATGCAAAACACTAGCATTCTAAGGGTTAATAATGCTACTCATTTTTTCCAAGTCAAAACATATTCACCACAAGATCTCTCAAGTCAGAAGTTTTTTCCAGAAGTACATTGGATTGGTTTGCTTCTTTACAGACAAAAATCCTGCTTCTTTAAATGTGGACAATTCTAATTCTTTCATCAGAGAGAGAATGCTTTAAACATTTATATTCTGGACTCAATTTTTATTATGATTATTAATTGCATTGCAGTGGATCCTAGGAGCCTCACTCGTGAACAGGATCCCAGCATGCTGTACAAACACAGACTCAAAAGATGCTCCCTCTGCCAAAGAGATGCTCTAGAGGAGGGAATGGGAGAGTGCAGCGGTACTGAGGCACAGCAATATTCAAAGAAGCAATTTATTTTCACAGACATAAAAATCTAAGGTTTTTATATAATGCCTATCACTGTGATGGCAAAGTACTGTTAATTCCCATCTCATTCTCACCTTTGTCTTCCAAAATTTGCTACCTGGTTACTTATTAAGCATTTTCCCCATAGTGGAAAAACACCCTTTTACCGTTAATTGTTTTCTTTAATAACGGTGAGCAAATATTTCACTGCAGATTTTGCATCCTGATATAACCAAAACCTTATCGTCATTTGCAGATTCATTTACAGTTTAAAGTCAATAATACCATATTAATGACCAGATTTGAGAACCTCACTGATATTTGCTGAGGGATCAGGAAGTATGGTTTCCACTTCAGTTTATACCATCATTATATAGTAGAACCTCAGAGTTATGAACACCAGAGTTACAAATTGACCAGTCAACCACACACCTCATTTGGAACTGGAAGTACGCATCAGGCAGCAACAGAGACCAAAATAAACAAACAAATAAATAAATAAAATAAAAAATACAGTACACTACTGTGTTAAATGTAAATTACTAAAAAAATAAAGAGAAAGTTTAAAAAAAGAAGATTTGACAAGGTAAGGAAACTGTTTCTGTGCTTGTCATTTAAATTAAGATGGTTAAAAGCAGCATTTTTCTTCTGCATAGTAAAGTTTCAAAGCTGTATTAAGTCAATGTTCAGTTGTAAACTTTTGAAAGCACTACCATAATGTTTTGTTCAGAGTTACGAACAACCTCCATTCCTGAGGTGTTCGTAACTCTGAGATACTACCGTATTCCAATTATCTCTTCCACTTTAAATGTTCCTTCAAAGGAGAGGCAACTCATTTCCTTGAGAAACTACATACATCTACTGTAATGCTATTTTTCATTGCCCATAAGTAATCAGAGATTTCCTACTCCTGTATTGTAGGTTTAATATGTAAACTGGGAAAGCACAGACTATATTGCTTGGCACAATCCAGCAGAGTCTCACCTGTGAGAACACAGTATGAATTCAACCTCTGGCTGCATATATTAAACCACAGACAATCTGCACTGAAGTGATGCATAGATTAGACACAAAACCAAGCCCTCTAAGAGGAGTTTAGGCTAGTAAAAAGCTTTGGCTCTAGCTCACCTGATTCATTGTGTAGAGAAAAAGCACATCACCATGAATGAATAGCCAAGGGTTTCGGGTGGCCACTATGCCAGGTAGGGAAAGTGTCTGACTGCTGGGATGGAACACATGCCTGGCTTGAGTCCCCAATGAACCGCCTGAAATAAATCCTCTGAGCCTGCTCTCTTGGCATTACCAGTTTCACATTGCTGCTGGTGCCTGACCATTCCATCAGGCAATAAAAGAACAGTTCTAAGCCAGGAGGTGAGACCAGTAGTGCAGTGAAGTGGGAAGAATATGATATTCTACCCTCAGAGGAGTGAGGGGGGCTTCTGCTACTTGGTAGAGGGTGCCAGGGGAGGAGTCGGACGGAAAGCACAGAGGGCTCTGCCTAGTGAGGAAGAGAGAGAAGGGTTAAGGGTCTGAAAATGAGTGCAGAGCACAGATGACGAATATATTCCTTCTCACATTTTCTAAGATTAAATTTGTGTTTGCATTTTAGAGTAATATTTAAACGTCACTGTCATTTTAGAATATCCTCCTCGTACACAAAGCACCTGATATTCCATAATATCATCCATGGTGAATGCCTAGGACTTCATTTCTATAACCTCATAATATCAGCAAGTCTCAGCACATGAACAGAAGTGGAATTTACCCTAATTTGCCCTTTGATTTGCAGTGTTGTATGCAGTATTGTGGTAACTGTGTTGGGCCCAGGATATTAAAGAGACAAGGTGGATGAGATAATCTTTTACTGGACCAATGTCAGCTTGTGAGAGAGACAACCTAAAGAAGAGCTCTGTGTAAGCTCTAAAGTTTCTCTCTCTCACCAACAGAAGTTGGTCCAATAAAAGATATTAACTCACCCACCTTGTCTCTCTGATTTTTACACATTTCTGCAAGAGGCTTTACTGGTGGGAGAGGCTATCAGACACATGCTTACGGTCAATATTTAACCCAGATTTACTGCTGGTTCATATGTGGTCTCCACTTGTTCTCTTCCATGGAGCATGCTTCAGTTTAGTTTCTAGATGTTAGCCAGGATCTCAACCACATACACTGGGAACTACATTTTCTGAAATGCACTTGTTTTGGTTTTCCCGGTGATGTTTCAGTGAGAGGGTGTTCTCTTGTTCTGGACATTGAAATTAAACATTACAAACCATGTATTTGTACAGGAGAGATTGATGGCTAACAGGAAGTTCTGAACAACGATGAGTCTTCAGTATTCTGCAATGAACACGAACCTCTTTGATGCCTTTTCCACCCGTGTAATGGCAAGAGGAAAGAAGCTGGCTATAAGAATCATTACCAGTACAAACCCATTCACATATTTACCACTTGGGACAAGTGAAGGCCAAACACATGCCAAGCAATTATACAGCTAAACAGGCTCATGCATAAGTTAGCCCACATCAGGTTGGCTGCAATTGACTCTTGCTATATTGGCACCAGTTCCACCTGTGTTGGATGGCAGCAAAGAAAGCAACTTATCCATGTGGCTAACTCCACCAAACAGTGGCCCAGCTACTCCCCCTTTTGGAAAAAAAATCTCATCACAAACAATAACCCCTTTCAATGTGGGATAGAAAAGTGCTTTACAAAAGTCAAATACTTTGCCCTAATTTTTATACCAGGGTATACTTCCAACATCTCTATACACACTGGCAGACTGTTTACAGGTCATTGGTGACTACACAGGAACCAGACATAGCTCGCAGGGGATTTGTGCAGACTAATACTGAATCCTAACCCTGATCTTTGCCAGGTTGACTGGGTCCCTGGAAGAGGAACATCTCAAGAATGGACTAGGTATTCCTCCCTCCATAGCTTATCTCAATGGAGGGAAGCAGCTGAACCTCCTTGCTAATTCAGCTAAAAAGGCAAAGAGGCCACCTGCCCTAAAAACAAACCAATGAAGGGTGAAGAAAGATCTTGGCAAAGCAAGAGAACAGAAGTCAGGTGATAAGGGAATTTACATTGTTTTGCATTTGTGCTACATCTGTGCAAAGTGAGTGTAAAAACCCGCCCGTTCTGATGTGTAGCCAAGTGGGTGTGAAATGTTACCACAAGATGCAAGGCAGTAGAGAATCTTATTCCTGGTTTTGCCAGAAGCTACTGTATAAACTTGGGTAAATCAATTAACCACACTTTTCCTAGCTATAAAATGGAAATAGTGGTTCACCCGACAAATTATGCAGGAGTCTAATTCATTACTCTTTGCAAAATGCTTTGAGAGCCTCAGATAAAGTTTATAGAACATGAAAGCATCATTGCTGTAAAGTAAAGAATGGAAAGGCCTCTCTCTGAAGGAAGACTGACAGCTAGACAGGGCCACCAACTCTGAGAGGTTCCTAGTGCTTAGAAGAGAACACTGAGGACTAGGTAAATAAGGCTTTGCTGTAACTTTTTGATTTTGACTGTGGCCTTTGTTAACAATAAGAAGAGAAAATACAGCTGGTTACTCTGGACTGAACTGCATTGTATTTTGAGTCACCAATAGATAAAGAAAAACCCTTTAGGGTTTCTGAGTTTATTTCCTTACAAAGTACGTCTGTCCAGCTGCAGTGACTCCGGGCCTTCCATAATATTAAGAGATTCAAGAGCATTTAGGAAGCATTCATACACTCCCGGAGATTTCTTTGTTGACTGATTGTTGGCCAAGCGAACAGAACAGACTCCTCACTCTAAACTGAAATACGGCTGCATGTTAAAAATCTTGTATGCAGACTTCCATCTTAGACTCTTAGGGCTGAAAGAGAAGTCCTGAAAACAAAGGTTCCTATTAGACATGCCTGCGGAGACTTAGAGTAGTGTGAAGAAGATTGTACTAAAATTAGTTTAGTTACCGTAACCACATCGTCCCATAGGGATAGTTTGGCAAAGTGCTGTAAGTTGCTTTCTACTATTTGCTCATCCCCAGAGAAGACAGTATCACAGGAGGGAGCTACAATTTGGAACTATCTTGTTTTATACTGCTGCTTTGTAGTGTATCTGCCAAACATTGCAGGTACAGAAAAACAATATATGCAAAAACATTCTATATGCATCCGAAGAAGTGGGCTGTAGTCCACGAAAGCTTATGCTCTAATAAATTTGTTAGTCTCTAAGGTGCCACAAGTCCTCCTGTTCTTCTTTTTGCGGATACAGACTAACACGGCTGCTACTCAGAAAAACAATGGTGAAAGCACCCATACAATGCTTTCATATCACAACTCTACCTTACAGGATCCAGCAAAACCCACTAGGAATTGTGGTCTCTTCTCACTGAGAAATCTAACAGGGAAATGACTGAATTTCTCAGGAGCGGTAGCATTTTGGGGGCAGGCTTGTGAAGTGATTTTTTGCTATAACCCCACCCTATTTCAAACATATCAGACTCCTGTTTGCGGGGGACATGGAGAGATGAGCCAGTTGATTCTTTCTGATACTTCAGAGTTGTCAAATCCATGTGTTCCAAAAAACATGAGCCAGACCCCGTAAAAAATATTCGGCTGGCCTAATAATCATGAGTTTTTAAAAATAAATTTTGGATTCTGTTTCTCTGCCATCTGGTTTTTGAGCCCTGAGGGTACACTCAGGCCACATTTTTCAGGCTTTTCTCTGCAACCATAAGGGTTATAAACTTACTTTAAAAAATATAAAATCTGAGATTCTCAGAGTCACGTCTTCAGCGTCAGGGGCTTTAAGTAAAACGTCAAGTATCCCGGGACTCACTATAAATTGCGAGAGTTGGCAACACTGCCTTTCCACTCTGATTCATTTTATGTAAATAAGTGTGTGTGTGTGTGTGTGTGTGTGTGTGTGTGTGAGCTGCTTATTCCTTTCATCTTTAGTGATCAATTGACATTTTCAATGATTTTTGCAAGATATACGGCTAGAAATTTACCTTTAAAAACCCTGAAAATGGAGATTTCCCTTTCCACTTTTAATTTCCTAGGCTCAGATGTCCCAGTCATGGCAGACTCCACGTGGCCAAGAAGCGGACTATGAAATTACCTCCCAGTGATATTCCATGTCCAGACTGAGGGCACTGGAAGTCTGTAGGAACAAATGTGTATCCCAGCTGCTTTCATTACCCTGCCCTGTGGATACATAGAGAACTTCATTCCATAGCACCACCACTTTGCTGGTCTCTGACATCCCAGATATTTACAGTGACATTATACATCGAGGTTCCTAAATATGTACTTCAACAATAAGTTAATGGACGAAATGGCTTTTATTTACATGGACATTTGGGAGCTATTTAAAATTTTTTTCTCCATTTTCTCCCAGATCTAAATAAGGGGGAGGGGGGAAGAAACACAAAGGGATTTTTGTTACAGAAGAGTGTTAAAATCTACATTAAGCAAGGCTACATTGAAAGTAATAGCAGCTTATTTCAAAAGCATCAGTTTTTCCACTTCAACTTGCCTTCCCTCTGGAAGGAAAATAATTTCTTCATGGAGCGTGGTTTCCTTTTAGTTTGAGAGCACAGACTTACATCTCCATGATGCTGAGCACAGCAAGGGCTGGTTCACAGGACAGCTCCAAAAGAAGATTTTAGACATATAAATACCCCTGTCCCCAAACCCTCCCAACAAATAATTCCCTGAGCTCCCAGGAGTATGAGAAGAGACAAAGAAATGATAGCACTAATAAAAAAGGAGCTGCTGTTATTAATAGGGAAGCTAAATGAAGCTTATTTAAACATGCTTTGGTTTAATTAGATTTAGTTTGGCCACCTAAAAAAAAAATCATAACTTGTGCTGGGGCTTTTGCTTCTGTTCCCTGCTGTGAGCCCACCTGTTTCTGTCAGCCTCAGTGCCCTGACAGTCATAAAAATTCTGGGTTAGCCTGGCTGGTTGCAGCAGGTCATGCTAAGAAAACCTCCTCAACGAATCATCTGGGGGTGTGGGGGGGGGCAGGCAGTTTTGTTTGAAGGCATGACTGGCTTCTAAGTCTAAGATCCACCATGCTAAGAAATCAGACAGTGAAACAAACACCACAGACACGTAGCATTTATGCTATTGCAAGTGATAGTTTTATAGTGCACGTGCTGTAGTAGGGCTAATAATTCAAGCTGCATTTTTTCCCCAGACATTGTGGGAATTCCTCAACGTGCACCTTTGAAAGCAAAACACACACACACACACACAAAAACCCAACAAACAAACAAACAAACAAAAAAAACCTAGCGCATGCATGTGCACACACAGGATCTACCAGGAGAAATTGTCTTGATGGTTCTGTTTGTTTTTGGGATGCCTCTCCTTGGAAATGTACAGGAAAGTTACCCCCCTTTGGAACAGTTTACGTCTCAGAAAAGTATCTGCGCAGGAGAATGTTCATTGTCAGACAAAGACCTGAATACCAAGTAAGCAGTGTTCTCAGTGATCCAGTCCGCCTTTGGTGGTGAGATTTGGGCAGTTACGAGATTTCTGAATCATACACTGGGAATGGAGGAAATAAGAATATTTTATATAAACAAACCCAGGATCTGCTAAAGTTGTTGTTCACTGGCAAAGGAAAATAAAGACAATTCAGAATCAGAGGTGAGTCAAAGAAAAAATATGTCCAACAAGACAAGGCGGCCCAGTCAATTAATCAGATGCCAAAACATGTGACAGACCCAGAGGCAACTCCAAAACAACCAACCCAACTGCCTGTGGAGGCTGCCAAGAAGCCAGATGCTACTGCTTAAAAATATCTTCCACTGCTTGGCATCTGCATTATCTGACTGCCATCAAAACAGGAGGAAAAAGAGAGGTATGACGTGGGGGTAGGGCAGGTAATAATGTTTTTAATATTTTTATTTCAAAACTACTTCTGACTGTACTTTTACAATCCATCATTATGTCACAGGAAAACCAAACCAAACTGTAGACCAGGAAGGGAAAATATATGGAGTCTAAGACAAAGAAGACAGTTATTTAACAGGAAAATCTAACGCTTCTAAGTTACATTGTGTGGAAGGTTCTTTTTAGCATGACAACAGGCCCAGCTACTAGAACAGGCCAACTATCACAACGTAAGCATTCGCTCAGATTTGAAAATGAATTATCTCTTTTGATATGCCCCTGCTCCTATTACGACAGCTTTCCACCGGAGCTCTAATTACCGAATTTGAGTTCCACGAATGCACAGCGGGGGGTAGGGGGAATATTCCTCCTAAGCCCCTTGCCAGAGCCCTGGCACGCAGGCAATTACACGAGTCAAAACAACGATCTGACCACCACCTTCAAGAATAGGGCCATGCCGGGGAAAGATTTAAATTTAAAATCATGCACCCACCCAACTAATATGATAGGCAAAGATTATGTGGCCCAAAAAAGGTTAAAATTCCCTTAATCCTCCTCTCGCTACTTCTCCCTGAGACATTCAAAAGCCTAGAGGCTTCTTCAAGCTCTCCTCTCAGTTATGGCCCCTATCCTGCAAAGTCTTAGGCACACATTTAGCCTTATGCAGTATGGGAAGCCCCATTGGCTTTAATGGACCCTGTGTACTTTAATGTTACCTATTGTAAGTTTTTTCTGGATCAGGACCTATATGAGGTATGTTCCTCCAATGATGGAACAGAAAAAATTCCATGTGACATGACTATTTCCAACTAACCAGCACAGGTTTGGTTTTGACCACTCGTGTTGAAGTGTTCACATTCAATTCACTGAGTAACCCCGTCCCCCCCAAAACCCAAATACTACACACACACACACACACACACAAAATTCCCACAATTTCAAAGAAACAAATTCCAGAAAATGCTCAGAGGCAGAAAAAGAGGCTAAATGCAAAGAGTAAATTAGCTTCTGCAAATTATTTTGACGCCTCTAAACTACTGTATGTTTTACTACATTCCTCCCTGTGTATTGGGGAGGGAGGGATAATTGTGTTGGGTAGAAGTACTGTTACTGTTATTCATACAGCATTTATTATTTCATGTACATTGTGGTTACTCTGCAGTGACTCTAAACATCTCTAGTAATATTAATTTACTGAACACACCTCTGGACAGTTTGTTGTTGAGTTCTTTATTTTTTAACACTGGAGACCCAAGTTTATTCCTTGATAAGAAGTAAAGCAAAGAAACAGTTAGATACTCAGTGCTATTTCTGTTATAGGCAGAACTATAATATAAGTATTATTGTTTATTTTTATTAATATTCCCTAGCTCTTATATAGAGTTTTCCATATAAGAATATGTCTTTCTAAATATTGAGTTTGGAAAATATTTGTTTTTTTAGTGGGGTTTGATTAGAGCAGGGGACTGGGAGTCAGGTCTCTTGCATTCTGCTCATGGCTCTGCCACTAAATTGACTGTATGACCTTAAAAACAATGAGGAGTCCTTGTGGCACCTTAGAGACTAACAAATTTATTTGGGCATAAGCTTTCGTGGGATATCCCACGAAACAAGGACTCCTCGTTGTTTTTACTGATACAGACTAACATAGCTACCCCTCTGAAACCTGTATGACCTTGGTTTCTGCATCTGTAGAATCAATATAATACTTACCTCACAGCAATATTGCAAGCAGAACTGGGTCTGGAAAGCAGAGCTTCTTTGAGTATCGAAAGTGGAACCAGATTCAGAGCAGCTCAGTATTTCTGTTTGGCTTGTTATCAAGAAAAACCTGAGTGATAAAATTCAAACCCAGTTTCCTGGGGATGGGGCTCAGTAATCATGACCCAATTTAGCCCATCTAAACTTCATTACATCTCTGTGTTGACAGACTTCCTCTTATATGGTTTTAAAATTAACTATTACAGATAAGGAAAAACTATTATTATTAAACTGAAAGTAATTTCTGCTGAGAAAAATAATGCCTTATTTTTAGCATGAGCCAGACACATCTCCTCCTTCTTAGGTGCCAGGCCGTACAACATTGGGTTATTAGTTAGTAGGGTTTTAAATGCCAAATACGCCCGACTCTGACTCACTAGATAAACAAACCTCAGCACAAGGATCCTAGTCCTAATTGTGATAACTTCAGTGCTTTCAAGAGAAAATGGTACCAAAAGCGGAGTAGGGCTGGGGAAAATTCAGACTTGATCCAAAGCCCATTTAAATCAAGAGAGACTCCCATTGACTTTGACAGGCTTTGCATCAGGCCCTACGTGAAAAGTCTGGCTTGTTTTCACACCTCTCAGCGTGTGGCGAGACCTAACTCAGTAATGTTTGTAAAGTGCACTGCAAAAGGGCAAAGTTTTATTGAGGCAGGTCAGTGGGAGGCCTGGGAAGTCTGGGCTCACAGCCCCCATGCTCATTTCCCCAAGCTATTTGGTGTATGCTGAATTGCCACCACCTCCTTTACACTGAATGTTCACACTCCTCACTGAAAACCTGCATTACATGCAGAAAGTTTTAGATCGGGAGGTGTATCATGTTTGCAGCACAATTTAATTAAAAAAAAATCACAAGGACTGTCTGGCATTTCCTCAAACTAACAAACTTGTTTTAATGTAATTGAAAATAACTTGTGGTGACTAACATTTCACCTGACTCTGGTACTGAGACTGTAAGAACTTTGCACATGTACATAAATTGACAGATAGAAAGGAGTTTTCAGTCCCCCTTCACGGCACACACAAATGTCTGTTAAAGACAAATATTTAAAAACAAGAGCTAGACTAAGAGGGTTAACTTTCACTTCGTCTAATTTGGCAAGCATTAGATACACCCACCAGAAATCATTTTATTTTGTGTAATTTAATAGCAGACTTATTGTAGCATCACAGTTTATGACATACTGAAACAAATCAGCGTGGCTTTTTTAAGTTCAGGACTGCTATAAAGCAGTATTTCACAAGTTAA